GTATGTATGCATGCATGCATGCATGTATGTATGTATGTATGTATGTATGTATGTATGTATGTTAGTTATTCGATTCAATTTCAATTCCTCTCATGTCAGGAACAAAATTCTTTAATTTACTTAACATGCATGGAAGAGAGATGTTATAGGAAAATGCCCATATGAAATGGACCTGGGAGAATATAACAATTCTATATGAAGTCACTAATAGTAACTACAATGTGATACTAATAACTTAACCTAATTTTGATATGTTTTATTCATCATTATTTATCATGCAAATAAAAAATGTCTTTTTTCAATATAGCGGTTCTTTTCAGAATAACAATAATGCAGCCCATTTCTTACTTCTTCTTAGATATACTATTTATAACAGTACATTTAATAATTCTAAATGAATGTAATAGAAAAAAATGCTTCATTGTGTTTTATTACTATTTACTCATTAGTTTGTAAAAATATATTGTAGTCAACAATGCAAGGATAGTGCAATAACACAGAGTGCAGGAAAATTAACAATCCAATAACAAAGCAGATAGAAACTACAAACATCCAGACAGAAACAAGAAAATGCATAATTTTCTATCAGGCAGATAGAAAATAGAAACACAACAATGTATGGAAATCATATCAGATATATTACCATTTTCCTGACTTTTCATGAATTGCATTTGTTTTTTAAAAAAATTTACACAGGCAGGGATAATTTCCCTTGGTTGTAATATTAATCCTTGTCGTGTTAATGGAACTGGAACTGCTGTTAGTTATCAATCATCTTCTTGCTTATAGTTTCAAAATATGTCTATTGATAAATAGTTAGAGGTAGCAATTTCTGCCGGTAGCAACCTTTTGCTATTAGGATAATTATGAAAAAGTAAGTTTGTTTCAATGCCAATATTTAGAACAACAAAAGCATTCAGTGTGAAATTGATTAAAGCCTCGTCAATTTCAGGTAGTAGCTAGAGGATTTTACAGAGGGTCCTTGTTTATAGACTGCCTTGTTTAAGGACTGTTCTAAGTTAAAACAGTGTAAACAAAATAGCTTTGTGATCAATCCTCACATTTATCACCGTTGCAGTGCCCATCAGTTCATGTGATCACCATCCATGTGCTTTGCAACCAGCGTATGTTTACAAACGTTGCAGCATCCTGTGGTCATGTGATCACTATTTGTGTGTTTACAACTAGCTGTGACAAGCAAGCAAAGTTAACAGAGAAGGCAGAAGTAAAATCCTAAGCCGTGATCAGGTGATCTTTCACTTAGTGACTATAGCCTTTCACTAAACAATCAAAGGGGAAGTAAGGTTCTAAACCTGTTGTGATTGTGTGATTTTCTGCTTAGTGACTGGTACTTAGTGACTAAGTTGCCAATCCGATTGGATTGCTAAGCAAGGACTACCTGTAATCAATTAATTACTGTGACAGAGCTAACCTTGTTAACTTGCAGTTAGTTCCTCTAATTCCCATGAACCCCAAATAGCCTTGATTTTATTTAAAAGGCAACAATGCAAATAAAGTTCTATTTGACTTTAAATTAAGAACTTAGCATCTATTTTGTCAATAAAAACCAACATGTAAGAAATACATATTAATAAGTTAGGACCTTGTTATGATCAATTATTAAACAAAACCCAGCTATGCTAGCAAGATGTGCCTAAATGAGGAGAAAAAATTTATGCAAAACAAAGGGAAAAAACCAGCATAAGCATCACGTTAAAAATAATTAAAGAATATATCAACGGACGCTTAGAAGTCAACTGTTTCACAATTGTACAGGTGAAATCTTTTTAGCTTTAAATGAAAAACATATCCTGGAATTATTCAAATTTCAAATGTAAAAGAAGGAGAAAGATAAATATATTTAGCATAATACGTACCTTTCCCAAAGAGGCAGCCTGTTTTAAAATACTTCGTTTAAGATCATCTGCTTTTTTCAAATGATAAGAATTCTTCTGACTCTGGATGACAAATACTATTTCCCGTAGCTCTGTAAATAGAAATATATAAATAAATGATGTCAACAATAGTTAAGTGAATTCAGTATTATTATAAATAACCCACTGAAAAACACCCTGGGTTTTCAAGTAATGTACACATACATCAGTATCTCCTGAATTCTAATAAATTGGCTGAAAAAAGTAAGAAAAGTTTTAAATTTAAATAAAAGAATAATGCCAGAACCTTATTAACCACTGAAAATCCAATTCACAAACCATACTGTTGAAGATTAGATACAATAAAAATACTCATGTAATTTTACATGAATTTCTATAGTGAATTGGATTTTTAAAGTATTTGTGCATTGAACCTAACCAAGGTAATTTACTATTTCATTTAGAATAAACAATTTTAAACGCTACTCATTTTCTCAGATGCATTATGCCCCTGTAAAAAACAATCTAAACTTGCCTCACAGGTACAAAAATAATTCACACCGTGGTTCTTACAAGAACGATGATTTCCTTAACACATATAATAGAATCTATTGGAATTTTAATGATCTCTTCACTTGTTTTAACTACCGATTAATCCTCGGATTCTGAAGATAATTATATGTATAGTGCTTAAAAGGTATTGATTTCTTCTACCTAAACAGCTATATACTGCCATATTATTAGTTGCACCAATAGGCTGCCCCGATATCTGTCTGTCTATCTTCACCACCCATCTTCCTTAGAGAGGGACTTAATGTCAATATTGCTATACTGTAGATACAATTACATTAAACCATCTGTGCTAATTATGGCATTCTACATTTTGATCCAAGCATAACAAATGTCTCAAAGGTCCAAAGACAGCTCAAAGAAATTATTCATCTAATCCACCAATTCATTTCCCAGGCCATACCTGACACCTAGGCCCTTGTTTCAACTATTACTAAGATCAAGAAAAAGAGGCTCTTACTGCTAAACAATGCTAATTAATAGTCATATCAATGTTTTAAAACAGCTTTCACATTACTCAATGAGACGTTTAAAGCTTCATTGCTTCCCAGAAAGATTTTCAGGAGATTTGCTTCTCCAATTCAGCCTGCAACCTTCTCTTAAAAATATTCAATCTTTCATAAAATAATGAAGCGGAAAAACAATGTTTGTGTTTTGCTCTAAGACAATCACATCAGGAACCATCTCTGCTAAGCTGGGCTGTGGTTCTAACTGCTCTTGGTATGACCATCCCTTCCAGTCCATTTCTTTGTATCAGGGTCCCCTCTAGTCAGACCTTTACAGGTTAACTTTAATGAATTTATACTGTACCACATTCAAAATATACAAAGCAGTTCACAATATAAAAATAGAAGACTAAATCATTTATCAAAAGTCAGCAAATAAGAGCAAGTTTATATTAATGTTCACATCAATAATGTATAGTCTCAGGAATATAGACTATACAAATTCTATAGTATTCGGATGCCTAACTTCTTTCTAATTCCCATGTTTTCTGTGCCTAAACAATTACAAAGATGCCTGATGTCAAGTCAGAATAGCCAAACACAAACACACACAAAGGTCACAAACTATCCTACTTTGATGACACTTACTGAAAGACTGAAAACATGTGTCCCTCTTCATCACTCACTGACACATAGGATTCATATTCCATGAATATGGAGATGCAATTGTATTATCATCATGTTGTTTAGTCTTCAGCTCCTAAGGCTTTTTGCAATAACATAATTTCTTACCATCTTGTTTCAAACCATTTATAAACATACTCGTGGAAAGAATGGTATTGAGCAAATAAAAGTCTAATGCAGAGACTAATATAACCTTGCCAAGATGGAGTATAGGAACATCTTTTATCAGAAGTACTTAATCAGAAACAGAAGAGGGAAGAGGAAGAGTCCATAACTCAGCAGTCAATGCATAATCCTGATGAATCTTCACTAAAATTAATCAGATTGCAGTGGCAGAAGAAACAACTCTGTCCATATCCATGAAGACCTACTACAAGTCCCATCCCAACCCCAATTTGGACTTCAGCTCCCACTAGCTGATGGCAAATAACTGCAATGTAAGTAGATAAGTAGATATCATATTTCTTACTCCTGGAATAGATAGCATTAGGATAGATGGGCAATCTGTCCTAGTTAAATCAACGTATTTTTTACTGAAAAGAGAACTTAATAGAGCAGAGAGCATTTGTTATTCTGGACTTTATAGCCCCCCCGAATAGCTTGCAGTTAATATCAACTAGAGTAGAACAGGAACAAAAGGATAGTTGCTATTCTTTCATTATACAAGTAAAACTTCCTAAGGGTATCTGGCTGGTGTCTGAGGGAAAACAGTTGCATAAAGCATACATTTGGTCTGATCTAATATGGAGTCTTCTTATGTTCTTGCAAGTTGTTCTTGCGAGGATAAAGTAAATAATGTAAATTTGTGATCCAATCACAATAGTATGGTAGCAGTTACCAGGATTAAAGTCTAGGAAGGCATAATGGCATAATGTGACAATGAATGCAACACATATTATTCATCCTGATTGTAGACTTACTACAAAGGTTAATATTAAATAGGTTGACTTACCTTTGCTTATTTGGCTTGAATGCTCGTTTTTTCCTGGCATCTGTATTAAGAAATTAGGAACTATATTAAAAATGCAATTGAACAGGGGGGAAATAACCCTTTAAAACAGTTACAAATGGTTAAAAATATTCACAATCTTTAACAAAAACCTTAAGTTTATCAGCACCATTTATATTACAAGTTTCAAGTATCTAATGAGCCTCACACTTACCAACTCAGTAATTCTTATAAAAGCCAGGCAAAAGTTAGGTTAATCTTATTATTTTCATATAGCAGCAAACAGGACCTTGCCTAAAGCTGCCAAATGCATTGGTAGCTAAGTCTTTAATTCCCGGTTCACATTCTTAGTTACCACACTACACTATCCCTAGCTTAAATAGGTTTATTAAATGGGCCCTTGGCAGAACATTATTTTATACCACTTTATTAGAAATTGTAGCATAAAAAATTAGCTCCTGTGATCAAATTTGACATTTTAAATTTCTGTTTCTTATAATCGACCGGAACTTATCTACCATATTAGAGTATAAGACGCACCAGAGTCTAAGAGGCAGCAAGATTTTGAAGAGGCAAATTTAAAAAAAAAGTTTTTGCACTCTACAGACCTCCCAAAAACGGGCCTTTTTTTGCAAAACTGGGCCCTTTCTTGTTTTTTAAAAAAGGGCATGCATAGCCTTTAGGAGGCTTATAGAGTGCTCCTGGGGGCTGGGGGGGGCAAAAACAGCCCATTTTCACTCATTTTTGCCCTCCCCAGCCCCCAGGAGCACTCTGGAAGCCTCCTAAAGGCTATGCACGGGCATTTTTGCAAAGGAGGCGGGGTTTCAGGAGGCAAAAAATGCTGTATTCAATGTATAAGACGCACACAGATTTTCACCCTCTTTTTTTGAGGGAAGAAGGTGCGTCTTATACGCCAAAAATATAGTAAGTAATTAAAATAAACTACTTTTTCAAGCAAGTCTATATGGCCAAATACTGATGAGAACATACATCCCAGGAAAGCTCAAATCCAAATTATATATCTAAATACAGCAGAAAAGACCAAAACAAAATCTAATAATTCAGTGTTATGTACAGAGATGTCAGAACTTAGCACTGTGCTTTGGAGCAAAAAGTTCACCATAGCATTACCCTGGAAACCAAGTTCTAAAAATATCTTGACTATTATTCAGTAGTGACTAAGCAACTGACAGCAGATATTTGCTGAAATCACCTATACATCATGTAGCAATCTCACTACTCAAGAGGAAGCATTTCCTAACCAATGAAATAGAGCAGCATCATAAAGAGGCACAATTATTTGTTTAAGTATTTCTCAACAACCTGCAACATATAACCTTTTTAACCTATTCCAAATCCTTGCTCACGTTGATCTAACTTTACTGAATTTCTCCTGCAGCCCTGTAATCACTTTGCTTTTTCTTCCTTCCATCAGATATTAGCAGTTTATAAGCCCTCAAGGTCTCTTTTATAGCATTCAGGGCATCCTCTGGCTGTAACTACTAACTGTTTTCATTTTGAGATAGGAAACTTTCCTAACATTTTGAGACTTAAATATGGAGGAAAATAACACTAAAAGATTAAAGCATACACATCACCATTAAAAAAAAACCTCAAAATTTCCCAAATTCTGCATGATGCTTGGGTACCAAAAGATTACAGACAGCAACTTTAGAGAGTCTGCACCTCCACCTTCCACAGTAATGCAGTGCATAAAGGAGTACAAAAAATGTTAATGTAAATTTACATAGCATTATTTCATGAAGCCTCTTTCAAAAATGTAAGTACCAGAAATGTTCATGCAGAAAGAAAAAATGTGTTTCTAGATATTAAGTTTATCAAGCTGCTTGCATTTGCAGGTATTACGTTTTGCTTGCTGTTTGGGGAAGAGTTTGTTTTGAAATGTGAACACTTTACAGGTGGCCCTCACTCCATAACCACTTGTTCAGTGACTGTTCAAACTTACAAGGATGCTGAATGGGTGGGATTCAGTGGTGAAATTCTTTTTTTTTTTTACTACTGGTTCTGCGAGGGGAAGGATACTGCAAAATCTCCACTCCCACCCCACTCCAGGGGAAGGATACTGCAAAATCTCCGGCTTACATTTATGGCCATTTGCAGTGTCCCACTGTCATATGACTGAGATTTTCGGCACTTTTTTCCAGTTTCCAGCAAAAACACAGATCGAGCAAATAAATAAATGTATAAAATTGGGTGCAGTCACATGAATATCCACTATAAATAGTCAACTTATGGCAATAATTCCAGGCTCAATTACAGTACAAGATTACTTGGACATTGAATCATAAATGAACAGTATTCTTTAATTTTGAATTTATAAGCTCCTAAACTCCAATGGACAGTAAGCAGGAGTGGGATTCAGCCGGTTTGCACCATTTCAGCTGAACTGGATATTAATTTTGCATCCTGTTTGCCGAACCGGTTGTTGTAAGGACCAGCTGGCTCCTCCCATCCCACCCTGCCTCTCCCAGGAGTCTCCATGCGGCCTGTTCATCATGCCTGGTAAGTGCAGGGCCTGCGTGGAGGCTCTGGAGAGCGAAAAACAGGCCTCCCAGAGAGCCTCTAGAGTTCGGGGGAGGTCGTTTTCACCCTCCTGGAGGCTCAGGGAAAGCCTCCGGAGGACAAAACACGGCCCTACCGGAAGTACTGGAAGTCTGAAAACATGCCTGTTTCTGGCCTCTGGAGGCCGTTTTCGCTCTCCTGGAGGTTCGGGGAAAGCCTCTGGAGCCTGGGGAGGGCAAAAACACTCCCCCTGCTGTGGTGCAGGAGGACATGTAGGCCACGCCCACCCAGCAACTGGGCAGAGAATCGGTTGCTAACATTTTTCAATCTCACCCGACAGTAAGCATGCTGGGTATCAAAACAGAACTTTAACATATGAGATTACAAGGCTGTTCACAATCAGAGCTGTGAAAAACTTCTTTGCATTTCAAGCAAACCTATTTACTGGTATATCAAAACTTGACATATTTTACAGGTAAATCTTTTCAAGTTTCTTGCTATCTTTGCACAAGAAATTTAATACCTCTGACAGAAGTTCGGTCCAATCTTTTCCATTTTCAGCAGCAACATGTAGAATTAAAGCTGAAAAAAAGGAGAACAAAGTTATCCCTCCTCTCAAATGTGTCTTGTTTTTTCAAATATGAGAAATTATGTTTACATAGATATTAAAAAGCAATTTAGATAATAATATATCTTAAATGTGTAGAATGTCTATAGCAGTCATCATTATAGACATTAGTTTCAAGCATGAGATAATTATGTTTGAAATTAGTACTGTATTGCTTGCTGTAGTGTGAAAATGTTATTCCCATTTTTCCTGGAATAAAAAAATGATCTAATCTGAAGCCAATTTAGATAGTTTCAAGTCAAAACCAAGCCTATACAGCCATGGCTTTGTTATCCAGCACTTCACTTTTCTAAATAATATGCATTTCACATCTATATTACCTTTTATCCTTCGGTTAAGCTTAACTTTTTTATTTATGAAAGAGGACTTCTTCAGAGGCTGAAATTGTTCACCGTACATTTTTTCCTGAAACAATGCCAGGATAACAAGTCTAAGAAACAGCCACAATCAGAATCGGGGCACAATCAGAACAGCAGCAGAATATGCTTCCCAAACATTTATGGTTAAAAACTTACAAGTCATAAGATAGACAAAACTAACATTATCTGGCATAATTTGAAAACAAGTTTGCCATACAACAGCACTGGGATCCATTATCCTGAATAATTTGATACTATCTTCATGTTTGGCAACCAAGCAGTTTACCTAAATACACAAAGGCAAGTAATACTGTACTGTATGAATATCAAAAGTGCATTTAATTTCTAAAGCAACATGCAGTTAGATACAGTCATTAAAAGTCTTGCAGCAGGATTTTATAGGTGTTATACCTGTCAAGTGTGGTTGTATTGTGGGAAATAATGTTATTACTAGTTGCTATGGTGGCTATCTTTCTCAGCAATGATAACTTTGTACATATATTGCTAACTTACCAGTGAACCTATTGCTTAAGAGTATTGTACAATCAAGTATGGACTCCTTTTGGACAATGCACTTTTCGGGAATTAGCAATTTTAAGTCTGAAATGTTTTAAAGTTAATTTGCTAAGAAAGAAGGAAACTATTTAACCTATTTTGGCAGAAAGTAGCAGCACAATTGATAAATGCTTTGAGATGATTAAACCACTGATTTAGGTGCTGCATCAGATATTTCCCTTTTCTTCCAAGTGCAATTCAAGTGTTGCATCATTTGGATCAGATTACTTTTGGGACCATCTGCCCTTGGTTAAATCTTCCTGCTCGATGCACTTCAATCAATGCTGTTATGGAAGTTAGAGAGATAGATGAATATCACTTTTTACTGCCTCAGTATCTCTCCCCCCCCTTCCCATCTCACAATGGTCTTATATGGCCACCCATCTCACACAAGTTGCAATTACATGGCCACCATTTTTACACAAGTCACTGTGTAATTGTACACAGGCGAATTACAACAGGGGACAGATGAAACAACTGCCAAATGTTGCACAGAGCCTGTGGCCTTTCAGGTTCTCCTCTGATCTTCCTTTTTTTTTTCTTGCTGCCAGTTTTCTCTGACCACCTCTTCTGTTGACCTAATCAAGCAACCACATCAATCACCAGTTCCATAAGCTTGTATTTCTTGGAAGAAACTGGTGACAGTTGGTGACACTCTAACCCTACGCAACTCTGCTGAGACTCTCCTCTCCCCCCACTGATATTTTGCCGAATGGCTCCACCACGACAGCTGCAGCTTTGAGGGCTCACTAGTGCCAACTGTGTGCTGGCAAGAATTGAACTTTTTTCCTATGCTGCTTTCAGCATCTCCCTCATTTACGAACTACCAGACCACCACACCAGAGGCCAGTTCTTCCTTTGATGTTTACTACTTCTACTTTTTCTGCTGTTTTACTCTTCTTTTTCATCCAGCCTTGAATTTCCCCAATAACTCACAAAGGCAGACATAGATTAACTGAGCAAGAGGTTAGCAAAAAAAAATTTTTTTTAATGAAGGAAAAGAAAGTTACTACCTCTAGTTTGCAGTCTTGCAGACCCCCTTTTTGAATCTGCGCCGATGAAGTGGCTTTCTATTTACATTCTGGAAAGATTGGCCAGTATTATTTTGGATGCTCAAAGTTTAATGTTCATGTTTTTGTTCGTATTGTAAGAAAAATTATTTCTGTTTTTGTATTCCTTGTTTTCTGCATCTGAGAGCAATAAAAGACTACAGAGCAAATGCATTCTATGAAACCACTATCTTTCAGTCCAGCAACGACATCTTAAACTATGAGTCGGATCTTTCTTTCAGGAGGAATGTAATCCTTTTCAAACGTGCTGAATGTGAATTCCCAAGTGCTATCGCCCATTGACCCGCAATACTATCCAGATTTAATTTCAGCCTGGCTTTCTTTACTCAGCCTATTAGCAAACTTAAGTAACATTTATTGCATTCTTAATTTTATTTAGATTATGATTGGATAATCAAAAATATTATAAAAATTTCTTTGTTGGAGAGCATTTAGGAGATAATGAGAGTGCACCATGTGTCTTAATGGATTTTATTGTATACCTCCAGGAGTAATGCAGATTATGGTGATAAATACCATGTAGAAAAAATATTTAGATAAGAAAACAGCAATCAACTTAACGGAATCATGTAGGAATCCTCCATATTCTGTCAAATGACATCTATTTACATTTGAATACCCTAAATGCCCTAAATCCAGCCACAATTAAAACAGATAACCCATTTTTAAATTAACAAAACTTTCCCACCAACAGTGACGGAGCAAACCGCTAGTATAAGGATTCAAAACCCCTGGTCCGACACTGGGCCGTGGCATGTCAGAAACCGGACCCTGCAAACAAGTGAAGCCCCATCCATGGGATGCAGGCTGCATGCGAAACCACACCTGCTTCAATCTGTGGAAAAACCTCTCCATGAAACTGGTCCCTGATGCCCAAAAGGTTGGGGGTGCTGCACTAGTATACAAAAAGAAAGCTATCCCCATTCCCTTCTAGTACTCACAATGTTACCTACCGTGTTTCCCCGAAAATAAGATAGGGTGTTTTGACCCCTGAAATAAGCGCTTGGCCTTATTTTCGGGAAAGTCTTATTATTTTTGAGATGCAGGAGGTGGCGAGTGTGGTCACCTCATGGTTGCTGCTGTGTTGCAATATTTTCGGGGAGGGCTTATTTTCAAGGGAGGCTTATTTTAGCGCATGCGCTCAAAAGCCCAATTGGGCTTATTATTCGGGGAGGTCTTATTTTCAGGGAAACAGGGTAGTTGAGTAATGAAACGTCTGCAAGAAAACAACCAAGTTCAGAGCACCAAGGACCCCATAGTTCATCCCCAAGCTACAAATATTCTGTCAAAATCATTTTTATTTATAGTCTTAACTCTATGGAAAATAAATCTTACTTTTGTTTCATAACGCAATCCTATGCAAATTAGACTTGTTGAGTTCAAGGAGACTCACTAATACTGATGGGAATATAAAATTCATTTTAGTCATGTTTACACTGTCAAACATACACAGGGCATTTCCTTTTTACATTGAGTCAGTACTTCTCTTCTCATTTGTTTACTTACTGCTCCACTGCTTCATGCCCCAAAGTTGAATCTATACGGATATCATGTACAAATTCCCTTTTGCATATAAATGTGCATCATATTTTTATTTCCTCTTCTCCAATCCTTTTCTCCTTTGGTTTGGTAAATTATGCAATACAGTTAGGTGTCAAAAGTGAATGCTTCCTAAATAAAACATATTCCCAGATCATCACTTAATGAATAATGGGAATGAAACTTTGGCCCAGCAGTCATACAAGCTTACTTTTAGATTTCTACAACTGAAAAGTTCCAGAGAAAATGATTTAATTATTTAACTAAGAGTGTTGGCTTATGTATTATTCAGAAGTAACTCCCTTGAGTTTCTTGTGATTTTGGCAGAGATAAGTGCGAACATGGGATTGTAGATTTTTTGAACATTTATTTAAATCTTGGGTTCTCCAGGCCTGTAAATGAATGGGTGGTCTTATTTGGCTACATTAAATAAGATAAGCCAAACATGAGAAAAAGAAGAAACAATAATATGTTTCCAGCTAACATTTGCAATTGCTAACATTTTGATGGTATGATTTTAACAGTGCCTGCACTGTTAGTTTTCCATGTGAACTAGCAGAGGCTTCTTGTAACAAAGAGAGGATTTTCATCAATTTCTCCTCCTGCCTCTCAACACTATCTTTCTTGCTGATCTGAAAGGTCCCTATTGCTGCCAGTAGCACATTTTCAGCAGGCAGCATCTTCAGGGGAAATGGAGAATCAGCAGCCTCCCTTCCTCTATGAATAGTACAAGCTTATGTTGGATCCAAAGCTTTTCTACAAATGAAAGAGGACCATTAAAATGAATCTCAGAAGTTTATTGGGCTTCCTCTTAGGTTTTATTCTGTAATTGACAAATAGGTACATAAAAGGAAGCGACAGATATCAGAAACTGCTTTTTTCTCTCTGTATGCCAAGTGATATAAGTGAGATTATGTAACTTGGAATTTAATATATTCATTTTCCTTTTTTTGTCTTCATTACTTTCCCTTATGTATTATGTTTTGTAGGCCTACAGACATTATATTTTAATTTTTGAATAGCAATCAGAATACCACCACCATTAAAGCCTGTGCAAAAACACACACATACATACACACTTTAAGGGCTATATTTCATTTTTGTTCATTCCTGGGAGATGTTTTAGTGTTCTTTGAAATCATCATGTGTTGGGTGGTTTCTTTTATTTATCTTTCATTGATAGCTCTGTGATGTAACATAGATTTTATCAGATTTATAATCTTAGTTGCTTATAGATTGCACTGCATAGAGCAAGTACTGTTCCTCTATTGTTAAGTACTGAAATGTCTGTTCCTAGAGGGAAAAATATCGTGTTTGTAGGTGCTGTAGAATATCAGGATGAAGGGAAGTACTTCTTATATTTATACTGCAACTTAGTTTTCTTGGCTTAATATATATATATATATATATATATATATATATATA